ATGCTTTATGCTGACCAATGTGTAGTATCAGGAACCAGATTTACTTTCTTACTGGAAAAAATTCCCCAAACAGACAATGGACATCAGTCAATGAAGGACAGTGATCCCTGAAAGACAGGAAACAAATGGATTTAGCCCTACAATTGCCCCAGCTTCCTGTCTTGAGAATTTCCAGGCTATAGGCAAGAGTGGGGGATTCCAGGTGGAATCTGGCAGAGGCCCTGAATTGAGAAGACAGGGCTGAGAGTCTGGGAGGACCAAGGAGTCTGGAGTTCTAGAGAGGAGACGGCTGTATTCACATAATTCCCGAGGTCTGCAGTCAGCTCCTGACCAGCAGTCAGCTGAATACTGTCTGGCTCCTTCAAGTGAGGGCAGTGACCCAGGCCAGAAAAAAAAAAAAAAAACCATCTGAAAAGGGTAGAGGTATAAGTGTGTGATACTTATGCACATCAAGGAGAGTGCTTGTACAGCAGGCAGCCTGGAAAACTTTATGATTCATGGGACATCTGTCTTACCTCAGTAGTGGGGAAAAATTAGCTCTTAACTAGGCACTGTTTGGGTTGCACTTAAATTTTAAAACAAGATGTATGGGTGGTGACACACACCTGTAAGCCAGTTTCTTGGGACTTGCAATCTTCCTGCTCAGTCTCCTAAACCTGGGATTATAGGCACGTGCCTCTGTATCAGCCCATTTTTAGCTACTTGGGAGGCTGAGGCAGAAGGATCACAAGTTTGAGTCCAGACTTGGCTATTCAGCAAGACCCTGTCTCAAGAAACAAAAAGGGAGTTGGGGCTGGGGCTTAGCAGTAGAGCACCCACCTAGTGCGTGTGAGGCCCTGGGTTTGATCTTCAGCACCACATAAAAAGTAAATTAAATAAAGGTATTGTGTCAAACTACAACTAAAAAATAAATATAAAAAAAAAAAAAAGAAAAAAAAAAAAGGACTGGGAATGTAATTAGTGGTTAAGTGCCCCTGGTATCCCACCTCACCAAAACAACAACAACAACAAAACCCAGAAACCAAAACTGGGAACTGGGGATGTAGCTCAGTGGTAAAGTGCCCCTAGGTTCGATTCCCAGTACCAAAACAAAACCCCAAACAGAATATGTTTAGAAATTCCAAAATACAAGAGAAGAAAGGAAGGATGAGGAAGGAAGGAGAAAGGAAAGGAAAGGATGAAGAGGAGGGAGAAGAATAAAAAGGAGAGAGGAAATACCTGAAAAGGAAAATTCACGATTCCACAGTGTCTGACATACAGTCAATAATAACCAGACATTTTATCAAGAGAAAAATAGATTAATCAAAATCACACAGATTGCCAGGCATGGTGGTGCACGCCTGTAATCCCAGCAGCTCAGGAGGCTGAGATAGGAGGATCGTGAGTTAAAAGCCAACTTCAGCAACGGTGAGGCACTAAGCAACTCAGTGAGACCCTGTTTATAAATAAAATACAAAAATTGGGCTGGGGATGTGGCTCAGTGGTTGAGTGCCCCTGAGCTCAATCCCCAGTACCAAAACAAACAAACAAAAACAGAAAAACAACAAAAACAAACAAAACCTATAGATGTTAAAATTAGACAAGGAATTTAAAATAGTTACTGTGTTTCACATATTTACAAGGTCAAGTAGTAGTATAGAAGATATAAAAAAGATCCAAGTATAACTTCTAGTTGGGATAGGATTAATGGTGGATTAGATGTTTTTAGAAGAAAAGATTAACAAACTAGAAGACCACTAGGAAGTGAACACTAGGAACTGTCCTTTTTTGGTTTGTGATCACATACATAACTGTGTATTTATCAAAACTCATGCAACTGTACATCAAAAAGAGTGAATTTTATTATATATAAACTTTACTTCACTAAATCTTACAAAAAGTAATTCTTCGAATATGATGTCTGAAATTTACTTGAAAATAATACAAAAGGCAAACAAATGGGTAGAGATGTAGATAATATAAGATTGGCTATCAGTTGATGTGTTGAAACTGAGTGTTGGGCGCTGTTCTTTCTGCTTCTGGGTATGTCTGAAGTTTTCTCTATAAAGACAAAACAAAACACAGCACTGAGGATGTAGCTCTGAGGTAGAGTATTTGCCTAGTATTCCTGAAGCTGTGGGTTCAATCCTTTTCATTACAAAAACAAAAAAAACAAAAGCCCATAAATGCTTTAGGTTGGGTTTTTAGACTGTCTAGAATCTAAACTCTATGAGGACAGAAGTTTTTGTCTTGTTTTGTTAGTTGCTCTATCCCCAAAGCCTGGAACAGTGACAGCCACAGTAAATATTTTTAGAATAGATAAATGAGGGATTGTTTCTCTTCAGTTTCTCTCTCTCTTTCTTTCTAGTACTGGGGATTGAAAACTAGGGGTGCTTTACCACTGAGCTTATAACCCCAGCCATTTTGTTTTGTTTTGTTTTGAGACAGTGTCTAGCCCAGGATGACCCCAAATTTGGGATCATCCTGTCTCAGCCTCCTGACTGGCTGGGATTACCTATGTTCACTGTGCCTAGCTCAGGTTTTCATTCCAGCATTGGATCCTGGAAAGTACTTATGGAAAGACAGCAACCAAACTTCATGAACTTTATGCACTACCCACCCTAGGGTCTGACACTCACTTGCAATACAATAAACAGTTTCTGAATATGATTGTCCATATCCCACCAATGAGCTTGGGGATATTTGATTTATTAATTGATATATTACTTGTTTGGGAGTCACATATTAGAACCTTAATTCAAAATTATTTATTATTTATTATTATTATTTTTTTTGTACCAGGGAATGAATCCATGGGTGCTAAACCATTGAGCCACATCCCTAGCCCTTTTTATACTTTATATTGAGACAGGGTCTTCCTAAATTGCTTAGGGCCTTGATAAATTGCTGAGGGTGGCTTTGAAATTGTGATCCTCTTGCCTCAGCCTCCTGAGCTGCTAGGATTACAGGTGTGTGCCACTGGTTAGATCTTAGGAAGATTGCATCCCTTTTTAGGCTCAATAAGGTTTCAAGTGCATATGTGTGCATATGTGCTTTTTTTGGGCAGTACTATGGATTAAACTCAGTGGCACTCTATCACTGAGCCACATCCCTGGCCCTATTTTGTATTTTATTTAGAGACAGAGTCTCATTGAGTTGCTTAGCACATTACTTTGGCTTTGAACTCATGATCCTCCTGTCTCAGCCTCCTGAGCTGCTGGGATTATAAATGTGCGCCATCACACGTGGCTCATATGTACATTTTTTTCTCATTCTTGGAGGCATCTATAAACCCAAAACATTGTGAGTCTTTCTTTTTCCTCCCCCTCCCCTCCCCCTCCCCCTCTTCCTCCTCCTCCTTTTTCTTTTTTGATACTAGGATTAAACTCAGAGGGGCCTACCCACTGAGCCACATCCCCAGTCCTTTTTATTTTTTATTTTGAGATAGGGCCTTGCTAAGTTGCAGAGACTGGTCTTGAATTTGCAATCCTCCTGTCCCGGCCTCTCAAATTGCTGGGATTACAGGCTTGCACCACCACACCTGGTAGCATTGTGAGCCTATGGTGGGTGATCTTTAAAGTTCATTCCTTCCATTCATTCAACAAATATTAATTGAGTGTCTACAATGGCTGAAACTGGAGATTCAATGACAACCAAGACAAAAATGAGTTCCCTGAGATCTCATGGAGATTATTCACGCAAACAGGAGATATACAAACAGGAGATACAGATTTGGGAACCAAAACACTTCATATAATGGTTAACTTGCATGAAGGAAATAAAGCAGGCAATATATCAAGTGACTTGGGGGGAAGTGTGAACTTATGGTGGTTCATGGAGGGTCTTTGCTCAGAGGTGATAATTCTAACCTCAGAATGTGACCTTATTTAGAAATGGAGTCTTTGCAGATGTGATTAGCTGAGATGACATACTAGAATAGATAATAGGAGAGGACACACCAAAGGCCATCTTACACAGATCTGAAATTGTAGTGGTGAAGCTACAAGCCAAGGCACACCTAGGATGGAAAGCCACCACCATAAACAAGGAAAGATTCTTCCCAGAGACTCAGAGGAAGCAAGGCCCAGCTGACACCTTGATTTCAGACTTTGAGCCTGAAATACACGTGAGAGAAATACATTTCTATGGTGTAGGCCACCTAGTTTGTGGTACTTAAATCATCCAGTTTGTAGTTACCGCAGCCCTAAGAAACTAATACAGGTTTCAACTGAACTGAGACTCTGGTCATGAGAAAGAGGGAACCATATGAGGATTTAGAGGGAAGAGCATTCCATGCAAGGCCAGGAGGACAAAAAACAATGGCTGGAGAGCAAGATCTGTCATCAAGGTAGGAGATGGGACTGAAAAGCCAGGTTGGGACAGATCTTGTAATTTTGCAGAGGAGGGAATGTAACTGGATTAAATTAGTTAGGAGGATGTTGTGTCAATCAGCGAGTGATAGAAACAGCTGTTAAGAGTCACCCAGTGTCTTAGAGGGCAGGAATCTAGAATGTATAGGTTGCAATAAATAATAATATGAAATGACAGGCTTCCCTGCCCTGTCCCCAACCTTGCTACTTGGTCAATGTCAACTAGCATTCCAGGGCACTGGCCATGGGCCAGGTTAGCAATGTTAAAGGGTACTGGTGGTAGTAGTGAACTTTCATCTCTCCCCAAATCTTTTTAACCCCCACCAGCCACGCTTCCCAAATCACAACCTAAGTAATATTAGCTCTGTAAACGCAAAACTCCTCAGCCAGCCCGTCCGAGAAGGGAGGGATCCTGGAGGCGCCGAGATACTCCCAAGGAGGCAGCGGCAGACGCAGCCAAGCCCAGGAAAACGACTTGGTACCGGGCGGGCACTCTGAGCGCACTACGGGGCTGGGAGGCGTGTGCGCACGCGCGGAGCCCCGCCTCTCAGGCGAGGGGGTGGGGCGGGCGCCGGGGCGGGGACCGTGACGTCAGGTGTGCGCGTGGCTCTGGCTGCGCAGGAACAGCTGGTGCTTCTGAAGGCGGCCGGCTGGCGGGCAGGCGTGAGGTGTTGGTGGTGGCGGGGCAACGCTGCGGGAGCAGCCTCGGCCGCCACCGCCTTGCACCATTGCACCATGTCGGGGCAGCTGGAGTGTTGCGAGCGCGAGTGGCACGAGCTGGAGGGAGAATTTCAGGAACTGCAGGTAGGGCCGGACCACCTAGTCCCGCAACTCTGCTACTTGCAGTGCAGTGTCTTCCCCTTCCCTCCCGCGGAGCCGGGGAGGTGGGGCTACTAGGGACCCGGAGTGCCCCTGGTTAGCCCCTGGGCGCTGATAGTCTGCATGGACCAACCCCCTCCCATCTCCCAGCGTTTCAGTTCTTTACCCTCCTGGGGCGCCCTTTCGAAGACCCCATTCTCCTTCCATCTCACCTTCTCTTTGCTCTGAGCACCTTATTCGCTTTAGAAAGTTGGTCTGTGGCCTCCGAGAGCAAATTCCAGGTTGTGCCCATGTGGATCAAGTCTGAGGAGGCCGGTAGGTGCTAGGGTTCAAAGGGAACAGCTCAGCACCCACTGCCGCAGGGGTCTCTCCTAATGCCACCCACCATATCTGCTTTCAGCAGCTTGATCACTCCTCTCCCTCTGGCAGGGCAGCTCTCTCCTTCTGCAGCTCCATTTTGGGAGATGTGTTTCACCTTGAACCCCTAGGCTGTGCTTGAGGATTAGGGATCCCCATTTCCTGTCTTTGGGAACTCTAGTTTGATGCCTGCCTCTCTAGGCTGCTGCAGGTTGTGTTTGTGTTGTGGTTGGCACTTGTCAGTTCTGACAGCTGGGCTGCCTCACTCAGTCATAGAGGCTGCACCCAACCTCACCTTTCTGGCCCAGAGCTGTACTCAGGTGGGGTGAGGGTGGGTGTATGATGCATCCTTAAGAGAAGGACATTGCTGTCAGGAGTCCCATCGGGAGCTTTGTTCCTGATAGAGGCCTCAGCTACCTACTTTGATGACTAAAGATGCCCCAGGAAATCTTGGTGATAGACCAATAAGGACCCAGGGACTATATTTGATGTTCATTCCCCAGCCTCAGGGTTTTTTTCCCCCAGGGGTTATGCTTTGTTTGCATGAAATCACATCACACCCCTATTCCACTCCCCTCCTCTCTTCAGTTGGAGCACTGACATTTTTTCTGTCCATGTAGCTATTGTCTGTAGTTGGGTTACACTGTCCAGAGCAGGTGAGAGGAGGTTGCCAAGGGTGTGATGGGCCTTTCTAAACATGAAACTGTAGGTCCCAATCAGTGGATAGGGGGTGCTGGGAAGCCTGGGCAGGAAATGAGGTGCTGTTTCAGCCATGTGTAGAAGAGAAGGTACCCAGGACTGTCATCCCTTCTTGGCTTCCAGCATATGTGGATTGGTACCTTCTCTTCAGGTCTAGAGCTTGGATTCCTTCTGGTTCTTAGGGGACACTTTTGGTTCCACCTTCATGGAGAAGACTAATTCTGCTTTTTTAGAGATGTATATTGCCCAGTCTGGCCTTGAACTCTTGGGCTCAAGTGACCCTCCCACCTCAGCCTCCTCAGTAGCTGGGACTACAGGTGCATGCCACCATGCCCAGCTCAGCAACAACAACTTCTACTTATTTTTTTGGTACTTGGGATTGAACCCAGGGCACTCGGTGGAGCTACATCCCTGGCTTTTTAAATTTTTATTTTGAGACAGGGTTTTGCTAAGTTGCTGAGGCTGGCCTCTAATTTTCGATCTTCCTGCCTCAGCCTCCAAGGCACTGCTATTACAGGCGTGCACTACCACGCCTGGCTCTCTTAGTCATGTCTTAAGGCTTTGTCCCACTGAACTCTAAGCTCATGTCCAGCCATGGAGTCACAGAGTAAATCTTAAGGTCAGGAGCAGAAAAGAAGAAGAGATGTGCTGTGTGGAGCTTTTGTTGTTGTAACTCCTTTCCTTTGCCCTGCCTCAGACTAGGAGGGGGTGGAGGGGAGGAGGAGGAGCCTTACACTTCAGAGCTATGCAATTATTGCAATTAACAGCAATTAGAAAGCAAGTCTTGGCAGGCAGAGGTTGCAAAGGAGTCCTTTGATTTGTTGTTATGTTCCTTTTGATGTCTTGGATGCTCAGGTGTGTCAGGGACAGAGGCATTGGGAACTGAGTCTGGACTTTATCCCTTGGTGTTCAGCAAGGGTTGTAGTGGAAAGAATGACAGCTGCTCAGTTCTGTAGAGATGGTAGACTGGATCTTACTTTGGGGAAGAGATTACAGCCTGGTTACAGGCTTTGGTGGTCAGCTGTTGGGTCAGAGGCTGGTGACAGATGGCTTCCTGGGGGTCCAGATCATTGACTGGCCAGGCATGGTGGCTCATGCCTGTAATCCCAGTAACTCAGGAGGCTGAGGCAGGAGGATCGTGAGTTCAAGGCCAGCCTCAGCAAATTAGTGAAGCCCTAAGCAACTCAGCGAGACCCTGTCTCAAAATAAAATACAAAAAAGGGCTGGGAATGTGGCTAAGTGATTAAGTGCCCCTGGGTTCAATCTCTAGTACCAAAAAAACAAAAAAAAAACCCAAAAAAAAACCATTGGAGCAAAGCACCATCTACATCTTTAATTCACAGATGAGGAAGCTGAAGCTTGGACATGCTCATTGACTGAGCTGGCCTCACACAGCTATTTAGAGGTAAAATTAGTTTTTCATATGTTGGGAGGCTCCTCTCTGTCTTCTATACTTCTGAGATCTCTGAACTCCTGGTCTGAAAGTCCCTGGAACTGCATGTAATGAGTCGGGTGTGTGTTGTGAATGTATTGGACAGAGACTCTGACCTGAGACAGTGATTGAGGAACAAGGAGGTAACACAGGGAAGGGTGAGGTTGGAGGTTACAACTAAGAAGGTAAACAATTAGAAAGGACTTTTTTTGCACCAGAAAATCCTGGTCGGTCTAAATTTTCCTACATCTGCCTGAGAATCTGGGATTTGGGGGTTTCATGTTTGCTTCTGTCTGATTTTGGTGTCTTTGTGTTTTATCTGTTTCTCTTTTTGAAATGAAGGAAAGAGGAAGCCCAACTCTCAGACTCTGGAGGATTTGAAAGGTCTTTGGAACTCCCCCTCCTTCACAGAAAGCCCCAACAAGGTCTGGGACTTCTAGCGGAATGTTTTCTAGAGAATCAGTTTTCTTCAGGCTTAATTTGCATCTGGCCTTAACTGGATTCTGGGGAAAGTTGTTGCCATGATGATATAGTTTTTGAGCAGTTGGGTTTTGGCCAATCTGGTGAATTGATTATCAGCCTGAGAACCTGGCCTTCTGACCTATGGTGTGACCACAGAAGGTCACTTACCAACTCGTGGCAGGTAATTTAATGAGCAGTTCCTTTCTTATATCCCTGGAAACCTGACCCTGTCCCTCCCAGCTTAGGAAGAAGTAGTCTAAAGTAGCCTTTCCTAAATCCCGACCTCACAGGGTGACAGGGACCTTATGAAGACCTTGACTTTTTACTGTCAGTTGAAGTGGGCATCTCTCTGGCTGCTGTGTATAGGATACACAGGGAAGGGCTGGGGTTATATCAGTGGGAGAGTACTTGCCTAGCATGCATGAGGCCCTAGATTTCATTCCCAGCACTGCCAAAAAAAAAAAAAAAAAAAAAAAAAAAAATACAGGGAGGTGGGCTGAAGGCAGGAAGTTCAGTACTATCTCATTAAAACCTCATAAAACAGATTCTGTTACCCCACAGTTGCACTTTTTACTGTCAGTTGAAGTGGGCATATCTCTGGCTGCTGTGTATAGAATACACAGGGAGGGGCTGGGGATGAATAGGGGAGTATATACCCCCACTTACTACTCCTATTACAGATATCACTAATGGATCCTAGCACATGACTCAGAACCTTTCTTAGTAGAGAATCAATATATTTCATGTGAACTCAACTTGCCAGCCCGGGTAGTGTTTCTATGGTGACAGGTCCTAGATAAGTATAGACAGCATCCGAAAATCTATTCGAAGATGATTTCTTAGAAAGCAAGCTATATAAAAGTAATCTCATGAAAATTTACTACCAGCAAAAAGCACATCAGAAGGCACCACACTTTGGTGGTAGCCATGGCTCTGTTGTAATTTACCAGATTGCTACCTTCTAACACTCTTTGGCCAGAGCCCTGTTTGTAGATGCCATGAGATTCCTGTCTGGCAATTCTTTTTTTTTTTTTTTAATATTTTTATTAGTTATTGATGGACTTTATTGATTTATTTGTTTTATATGTGGTGCTGAGAATCAAACCCAGTGCCTCACACATGCTAGGTAAGTGCTCTACCACTCTACCACTGATCTACAACCCTAGCCCATGTCTGGCAATTCTTACAAGAAATGTTGACTCCAGAGGTTTGAGTCCCACGTTCTGGATCTCATGACTCAGCCTAGTTGTGTTAAGAAAGTGCTGCCAGATGTTTCACAGCCTTACTGGGACCTGGACTCATTAACCTCATCTTCCCTCTGGGGTGGAGTGTGGGACCTCAAAGGACAGGGGAGGTGGCAGAGCTCCCAACATCCTATGTTGGAAACTTGCTTGTTTGTGTTTCCTACATATGGAGAATGCTAATTAGACATGCAGGAAAGACGCAAGGGACATTGCAACTCACAGAGCTGATGTTAGCACAATTCCTTTTATTTTTTTTCCTAATCCAAATGGAATCCTGTCTACATTTTTATAAATAATATATATACATACAGTTGAAAACTTTGTAGCAGATCTGTACAATAATGTTTATGACTGAACATGCAGAGTAGAGGTATCAATAGAATAAACTGGAGATATATATATATATATATATATATATATATATAAAATTTTTTATAGTTGTAGATGAACAGCATGCCTTTATTATTTTATTTATTTATTTTTAATGTGGTGCTGAGAATTGAAACTGCCTCATATGTGCGAGGCAAGCACTCTGCCACTGAGTTACAGCCCCAGCCCTGGACCTAGATATATTAATGTTGAACAAAAAGTTGCAGTTGTAGATAGGTATGTACAATATGCCTTTTATAATAAAGGTAAAAACATCCAAAACAACATTATGAATCAGGAAAGGTGGTGTTGCCTGTAATCCCAGTGATTTGGGAGGTGGAGGCAGGAGGATCCCAAGTTAGAGGCCAACCTCAGCAATGTAGCAAGATCCTGTCTCAAAAAAAGACTGGCAGTGTAACTTA